CACACCAGTCTCAGTTGCAGTCACCGTGTGCCTTGGGGGCAGGGCCAGCATGGCAGGCCCCAGGGTTTGAGCCCCCAGCCCCCGTGCCTGCTTGCAAGTGCTTTGATCCACTGAGCTATTTGGCTGGCTCTTGTGTAACAGTTTTCAAAGTGCAACCATTTTCACTGTATTGATTCTTCCTACCCAAGAGCAATGGATATCTTTCCATTTTCTGATATCTTTAATCTCCTTTTACAGAGTACTGTAGTTTTCATTGTAGGGATCTTTTTATTTCCTTTGCTAGATTGATTGAAAAATTTTTAAATGTATTTGGTACAAGGGATACAGGGTCTACAGGGTCTCAGTATGAAGATTGGATTCGTAGTGATCCTCCTGTTTCTGCACTGAACTCCTTGCTTTCAGAATCATATCCCTGAAGGGGATTGTTTGGTACTGTGAGGGATAGATAGGCCTCCATCTATGGCACCCTTTAGGGCTGCAAAAACTTTATTGCCAGTTGTTCTGGCAAGGCCTGTCTCCAAGTAGCAGGTGAAGGCATCAGGTTAGCCATCAATGTTTTCCACATTGTATTCATCTCCAGTTACCTCCACCAGGCCTTCATAGATTTTATCCATGCCACACCTGTTGAGAAGTCTGTGGCCCAGCAGCAGACCAGTACAATATGCTGCAGCATAATTTGTTAGGCCAACTTTCACGTCATATTTTGGTAGTCATGTGTATATGCTGTGTAGATTATCATATCCCCTTCAATATGGGCATAAAAAATCTGATAGATGAAATCTCTTGTTAGTTACACGAAATTATCATCCTGTATTTAGGTGTGTTATACTTATTTTTGTCCTGGATCACTAAGTGTTTACAAGCATAGTAATCTCTCTCGTTGTCTTGTAAACTTCAATTGCGGGGCGGGGGAGATGGCTCAGTGGAATAAGTGCTTGCCTGGCAAGCGCAAGGGCCTGAGTTCAGTCCCCAGGGCCGCAAAAAAAAAAAAAAAAAAAAAAAAAAACCCAAAAAAACTTCAATTGCTATCTCTTAAAGTGGACTAATTCTTTATTTTATTGAGAAACAAATATCAATGAGGCAGTTTCAAAACTGATTAATAGGACAGTTTCAATAATAATACGTTGTACATTGTTACCTTCTTAGTGGTCATCCGTAGTATAAGATGCAGGCAGAATATCCTGTCCAAACACTATTAGTACAAATCTTTCTTCTCATTGAATTAAGTGGAAGTAGCTGTATATCTATCCTAACTATTCTGCATATACAGATACAAAATGGTCCTTCCTTTGTATTGCTTTTTTTGTTTAGTCCTGTTAGAAATGGGTATTCCATTGGCATCTAAATACTATAGGTACGTGAATTCAGCAAAACAATCCAACACAGCAGTCCCCAGTAGTAGTGGGTTATCCACAGAAGTTGTTGACTTGAGCCTTTCACAGGTCAGCATATTAATATGGCTTTACTTTATATACCTCATTTTTATATTTTTTTGCTGGATGGTTAAGACCAAGATAAAACAAGACCTGTACAACAAGAAATGTAACTTTTGTTTCTGATAAGGTCAGTCAAGTACCCTCAGAATTTATCCTGTAACCCTGTACTGCAGTTTGCAGATCCTTTGTCAGTATCAGCCATGTGGATGAGTCACAGCCATTGCTTGACCAATTTGTTCTCTGTGAAAGCCTGAGAGAATGTTTTCTCTCCATGTGACTCTCCTTAGGCACACTCTACGTCATTGATCACATTGCTCTGTGACCCCCCCCCCATAATCTCCTTGATCAGAAAATTTGGGACACAACTGAGTTACATGATGTTACAGTATAGATTCTCCTATGTTAAAGTGGACTAATTCTTGACAACTTTAACAAAACCCATCCACATCTACAGCTCTACACAGACCTGCAGGCCCAGCAGCAACTCAAGGGGTTAGGCGGTGGTAAATGGAATATGTAATCTATTTTGGAGAATATCCTGTGTACAACTGAGAAGAATGTGTATTCTGATATTGTGGGTTGGTGGAGGGAGACATACTCTGTGGACCTCTACTGTGTCTATTTGTTCAAAATTTGGTTCAGTTCTTCTTTTTTGTCAAGTTGTTTTGTTTTATTTTGTTTGTTTTTTGGTAGTAGGTATAGAACTAAGGACCTTGTGCTAGCTCTGCAGGTGCTTAGGCAAGTTGATCTATTTGTGACCATAGGGTATGGAAGTCTTTCAGTCTCAGATCATCTTTACAGTAACCTTCTGACATAGGTACGCTTGTTTATAGAACTGAATATTTAGAGAAGGTAAATAACTTCTCACTGCAAGGTCACACATCTAAGAAGGGACCATATCTGGATCTTCTAAATTCAGTGACGTTTTTAAGCATCACCATTAATAACCTGTTGTTTTTTTGACCTTAGACCAACTAGTTATATTACTACTACCAACTACCTTTGTTCTAACTGTGCCACAGGCAAAGATATAAAGTAAACTGAGCCCAACCTTGCAAATTTCATCTTCATTGATATACATATTAGCTCATCCAACATTGATCTCATTGTTCTTGACCTTCAGAACCTCAGCAACAAACTTAATCAGTGCTGTCCTCCAGCTTGTCTAGGATTCTATCACTTGGTATTTTTCTCTTGCCAAGATTTCATAAAATCTGGTCTTCTGGTCCTCATGAAGTACCTCTTTGTTTATATTCAGCCTCAAACATTTATAATCAGGTATTGCACTCTTTTTTTTTTTTTTGCACTGGTACTTTTGACACTACTCTAAATGTTTTACCCCTCAATTTTCTCTACTCTAATCCTAATTAATAGCCATTGTCTGTGGTCTGTGCCTTCCCCTGGGTGCCCCTTAGGTATTGATGGCAAGAATCTTCAAAATTTGGATATAATGTTTTCATTAATTTCTTATTGATTTCCTGTTACATTTTCAGATTTTCCATAGCACTTTAGATCTTTGCCTTAGAGCTGGCAGCCCCTGAAGTAGATATGTGGCAGGAATGTCAATTGGTTTAGTCAGTTTGGAACTTGACCCTGAATCTGAGAGGACTATTGGAGAATCAGCTGCAGTTGTTATGGTTGCTGTAACACAATTTACTTTTCTTGTAATGCCATTGTTTCTCTGTAATTGCTTCAAAACTTTTTTATCTCCATGTGCCTGTTTGATGAAATTTCTAATTACTAGTTATTCACATAACACTTATTAAATACTCATTGTGATCCATTTCATTTTTCTCATTTCTTTATAGTTAACGAAGTTTACATGCTTATGATGAAAGTCAAATTACTTATATTTTGTGTTTTCCATATAAGAAAAATCACATGGTATTTTACCTGTGTCTCATATATTTTAGCTTAGGGTACACCTATTTTAGTCTCAGGGTACACCTATTTTCCTTCAAATGAGTCAGATTTATCCTTGTTTTTTTTGGTGGAACCAGGGATTGAACTCGGGCCCTTGTGCTTGCCAGGGAAGCACTTAACCTACTGAGTTTATCCTTCTTTTTGGCTCTATAATAATCCACTGATGGACATATAGGCCATTTCCATGACTTCGCTGTTGCAAGTTGTGCTTCTTTATAAACATGAGTATGCATGTATCACTATAATATGATGTCATTAATTCTTCTGGTAAGATATCCAGATTGTTATGGCTGGGTTGAATGGAATTTCTGGTTTTACATTTTTAATGAATCTCCCTACTGATTTCTATAGTCATTATAATAGTTTACATTCAGTTCAACAATGTAGAAGGGTTCCTTTTGTCCTCACAACCTCAACAGTATTTGTTGTTTTTGAGTTCGGGTTGATAGCCATTCTTTCTGAAGTAAAATAGAATCTCAGGTTTTTATTTGCATTTCTCTAATGACCAAAGAGACTGAACATTTTTTCATGTATTTATTGGTCGTTTGTACTACTTCTGAGAAGTTTCTGTTCATTTAAATTGCCCATTTTTGAACTGGAGATGTGTGTGTGTGTGTGTGTGTGTGTGTGTATTATATTTTTTCCTTGTAGGGATATTTACTTTCTTTTTTTTTTTTAA